AAAGTGTCTTAAAAGTACTGACATTATAATATATTTAAATATTATGCAGCACCATTGAGATATTTCACTAATAGTAATTAATGCTAAAATTCCTTAGGTATATGTCAACGGCAGTCCTGTCACTACTATGTTTACAAATAATGACATGACCATCACAAATCAAGGAATTGAGATGCGGTTAACAATCCCAAAAATTGAAGCAGTTGTGATGTTCAAAGGTCTTTTATTCAGCGTAGATGTACCAATGACTCTTTTCTATGGCAACACAGAAGGACAGTGTGGTAAGCTAATAGTTGAATGTCTTAAAGTATTTTATCGTGAAAGTTAAATGAGCATAATATGGTAGTAAATAATGCTAGAAATAAGTCTATGTTCTAATTAAAAACCTATATTTACAAGTCAAATTTTCCTTGACAATCTGTGATGGTTATAACATTCTCTTCTGCATTAACAGTTGCAGTTTTATTGAACTTGTGACGGTGCTGTTTGTAGCCCATATGATTAAAACATGGGCTACTGTATTGCTTAGTAAAGAATGCCAGGCTCATATACAGGCTGATAGTCAGTTTGTCCCTGTGTTTGGCTGTAATCTGTATAATGTTAACATTTCTTTTCGCAAGGTACCTGTGACAATAACACAAAAAATGACTGCAGACTGAAAAATGGTCAGATTTCTCCATCATGCTCTGACATGGCATATGATTGGCATGTATCTGTCGACAATAAGCCATACTGCAATGGGCTTACCACTCCCACTCCACCTCCACGTCCAACTTCACCTCCAATATGCAACAAAAGCTCACTTTGTGAAATCCTAAACAGCGAGTACGAATTTACAAAATAAACACATGTTAGTTCCATCAGTGAGACCACTGGAGTAATCTTCTTTATTTGACATTGTGTTTTAAGGGTATTCAAGGAATGCCACAAAGTAGTAAGTGTACAACCATTTTATGAAGCCTGTAAGTTTGATACTTGCTACACAACTGTTGGTATGGGATGCAGCAGTATTGAGGCATACAACTTGATGTGTGCTGAGGCATCTATCTGTGTAGACTGGAGGAACGCTACTAAAGGAGTGTGTGGTAAGACGGAGCTTTTTTTCTTAGTTTTTTTTTTAACCATAATGTTGTTTTAGATGTTTTCTACCCATTTTCATCTTAAATACATATTTGTTTCTTGTAGAATATAAATGCCCAGACAATAAAGTCTACAAGCCTTGTGGGCCAACTGTTGTTCAAACATGCAATGCAAGGTAATCACTACATTATCATAACTGCACCCAAGTAACACTAAACACAAAAGTACAGTTACAGGTGTAATAAGAGCACTCAAAGAGTGCAATTCCCCACAGCGAGTGAGGCCTATACTAAAACTTTGATGTTTTATGACTTTTTTTTATATTAAAATGTCCTCAAATGCTCAGCTAACCTAGGTACTCATGTCTCCAAAAGCCTAGTGTGTTGTTGGAAAATTTTAAGACTATCCATAACAAATGTGGAGAATATAAAGTTTTTACTGATTTTCACATTTGATGTCACGTTGACTGGATTTTTTTACCCAAATTAAATCTGTTATTGGTATCTACCGTCACACAAAATGTAAACATATCTTAAAAACTGTGAATGCTGGACAGCTAACAAACAGACAGACAGAGAAACAAACAGAACAGATTACATCATGCCTTTGGGGAGGATAAATATAATCAGTCTTGAACTAACTGAAAGTTGAATGCAAAGTGGTATGAGATGAAAAATATGCATCAGTTTTAGTGACATTTCAGGTCATTATTTGTAGTAACGAATTTCAGCCTGAACCAAAGGGGACTAAGTGATGCTACTCTTACTCCAGTACATAAGTACTACACTGACATATAATTATAAATTCTTGTTCTATTTCTGAAGTAATGATACCTTTTAACTGACTTCTTATTTAGATACAATGAACAGTTCTCTCAGCAATGTAATGCAGAAGGTCCTCAAAACAAGAACTGCAATTCTTTTGGAGAGGGGTGCTTCTGCCCAGGGGGAATGACTTTGTTCAGTTCAACCTCTGATGTCTGCGTCTCCTCCTGTAAGCATATTTTCTGTTGCACATTAAAGAAAAATCTAATGTGAATCTTTGTAAGTATACATGTGAGCTGCTTGTTTTTATGATTTAAGGTTGCACTGGACCTGATGGCAAACCTAAAGAGGTAAATACTATGATATTCTACATATACATTTTCAATTATTCACAGTGTATTTGTTGATGTTGTGTAAATAATTCTTTTTCATCACCCATATAGCTTGGTGAAACCTGGAAGATTGGCTGTCAGGAATGTGTTTGCAATAAGAACACTTTTAGTGTGGTTTGTAAGAATGTAACATGCCCTACTCAAAACCCAATAAAGTGCACCGAAGGTGAGGTGCTGGTGAACAAAACAGTGGACTGCTGTGTGACACCGACATGTGGTAAGTTGTTTTGGATATCACGTATCCTCTTCTGCATGAATCAAAGCAAATATGAACAGTTCTTCAAAATAAAAAATTAAAATATTTTAAGGCACAGTTTAACATAATTTAACAACAGCAATAATCAGCTCCTTAAATTAACTGGGTTTAGAAAAGGATTTTTTTTGGGGGGGCGGCTGCTCACTCACTGAGCTAAACCCAGGAATATGCCCTTTAAATATGATATTTTTAGCTCATCTGGTTGAAGGACCTTCATCTGTTTGTCTGTCCATCCACAAATCACAATGCTCCTCCTAAAGAGGAATTGAAACTTGCACACAATGATCAATTTGGTCTATAAAACTAATTTTGCTCAAGGTTAAGGTTGGGGGTTTTTTTTAGGAAAAAAACTGTGAGTTGCAACTGATTTTGAGCCAGATGAGCTAAATATCATTGATGTTCTGGATCTATTTCCATTTTTTTTAAATATGTGTTTTCCAGAAACACCTGCTGTAAAATACTCTAATTAATTCTGGATTTTACTGGTTTGTTTTGTTTTATATCCACTAATGCTGGAACTATTTCCACCAACAGAATGTAACACGAACACGTGTCCATTGCAACCACATTGTGACGTGGGATTTGAATTGAAGGTTAACACCCCAAAGGATAAATGCTGCCCTGTTTACAGCTGTGGTTAGTCTAACTTATAGGTGTTGTTTATGCAGTGTGTGAAAAGTCTTAAACTAAACTTTAATCTAATT